TTTGTTTTGAGGAATCTTTATACTATTTTCTACAAAGGCTGTACCGTTTTACAATCCCACCAGTAGTGTATGAGGGTTCCCTTTTCTCCACATCCTCACTGACATTTGTTACTTGTTATTTCTTCTCTTGTTGATACTAGTAACTCTGAATGGAGTGAGATGATATCTCATTGTCATTTGCTTTGCATTTCTCTGATTAGTGATGTAAAGCATGTCTTCATGTCTGTTGGCCATCTGTACTATATGTCTTTTTTTGAAAAAATGTGTGTTCAGGTCCTCTGTCCATTCTTTAATCAGAGTATTTGTTTTTTGGTTGCATGGATTATTTATATAATTTGGATATTAGCCCCTTATCAGATATATCACTTGCAGATATAGTCTCCCATACAGTAGATTGCCTTCTGTAGTTTTTTTCTCTTACTTGATTATTTGGTTCAGTGAGGAGTTTTTGAACTGAAAGGTCAGTGCTTTCCTTCTCTTTAAATTGAGGCTCATACAATAAAATGCACAAATCTTAGTGTACAGCTTGATGAATTTTGACATGTGTATACACTCATTGCCATGATCAAGATACAAAACATTCTAATTTTTTTCCCGTTCACCTATTTCACCCATCCCTCCTCTCTCCTCTCTCCTCTCCTGTGGCAATCACCAGTCTCTTCTCTGTGTTTTTGAGTCTGATTCAGTTTTGTTTGTTCATTTGTTTTGTGTTTTAGATTTCCACACACAAGTGAAATCATATAGTAGTCATCTTTCTCTGACTTAAGTCACTTAGTATAAATACCCTCTAGGTCTGTCTGTGTGGTCACAAGTGGCAAGATTTCTTTGTTTTCTGTGGCTCAGTTATGTTCTATTGTATATATGCGCCACATATTTTTATCCATTCATCTATTAATGGACATTTAGGTTGTTTCCATTATGTTAGCTATTGTAAATAATGCAGTGATAAACAGAGGTGTGCATGTATCTTTGGATTAGTGATCTTGTTTTCTTCAAGTAATTCCCAGAAGTGGAATTGTTGGATCATAGGGTGTTTCTCTTTTTAGTTTTTTCAGGAACCTGCATGCATACTGCTTTCCATAGTGGCTGCACAACTTACATTCCCACCAGCGGTGTAGGAGGGTTTGCTTTTCTCCACATCCTCATCAGCATTTGTTATTTCTTGTCTTTTGGATAGTGGCTGTTCTGACTGGTGTGAGGTGATTATGGTTTTAATTGGCATTTCCCTGGTGATTAATGATGTGGAGCATCTTTCCATGTGTCTGTTTCCATATGTCTTCTTTAGAAAAATGTCTATATAGGTCCTCTGCCCATTTCTTAACTGGATTATTTGTTTTTTTGGTGTTGAGTTGTATGAGTTCTTTATGTATTTTGGATATTAGCCTCTATCAGATACGTTTGAAAATATCTTCTCCCATACAATTGGTTGCTTTTTCATTTTGTCAACTAACTTTGCTGTGCAGAAGCTTTTTAGTTTGATGTAGTCCCACTTGTTTATTTTTTATCTTGTTTCTCTGGCCTGGGGATATACCCAGAAAACCTGCATCTCTAGAGTCCCCAGGTGTGATACAGCTGGTCCAGAATACACAGCTGGAGATCCCCTCTCTGAGAGCCACCAGGTGATTAGGGCATCTCTTGAGTCTTTAATGCTAAATGGAAACTGTCATTTTTCTGGACAGTTGTTCTTGTTTGTCAAGTCATTTTTGCTGTGAATACAACTGTATTTTATTGAACTGAAGGCTGCTTTTATTGTTCGACTTCGTAACCAGGGAACCTTGGACAAATTATTTAACCCCTTTAAGTACTAGTTTTCCCTCATCTAGGTAATCAAATGGTGATGCCAATTTTATAAGGACTGTTGAGGTGTATTAGGACTTCAGCACAGAGAAGAATGGATGTGTAGTTATTGAGGAGGAATTTTTATTGTTATCATCAAGTCCATAATAGTTACTGAGTAAAGCGTGGGAGAAAGAATACAAAAAATCAATAACTTTTACAGAATCAGTAATTCTGTAAAATGGTGTCTTATCATTGTATCTTGAAAGCTGGTTGTCTCAGCAAATAAAGCAACCTTTCTTGTATTCCTCTAACTAGATTACAATAATACAATTTCTGGAGCTGGGTGTCTTGAAATTTTAACCCTGACTTCACAACTTAATAGCTGATTGATCTTGGTTGAGTGAACCTCTCTTAATTCCCTTTCCTTTGCAAAACAGAGATGATACTTTCTTTAACAGTGTTGTTGGATTGATCATAGTCTTGGAAAATACCAACTATATGCCTGGTGTATATTAAGTGCTCTGTAAATGGCTTTTTCCTTTTTAAAGGCTTATTTTCTTTCTGTTAATTGTGGGTAGATAGAGCCTGGTACTTCTATGAGGTCTACCAACTCTGAGGGATCTCATGGGAGAAATAGACTAGTGTATTAATACTTCAGAAAGAAGAAAATCTGTCCTTTCAGTGGTCTGTGGCTGCCTAGCCATTCTTAAGGCTGCCTCAGCTTGCTGGGTCAGTCTGGGGTGAGAGTCATGCAGCTGTCAGGTCTGACATGGATTGCATGGGCAAGGAACAGCCTGCTCTCTGGATTCACCAGGAGGAGAGGAATACCAACCTTGTTTGGAGTAGATTAATAGAATCAGAGAACATTGGACTCATCCCTTGGGAATTTTATTAAGCGTCTAATATATACCAGGCAGTGGACTAGATGTGATTTGTTCATTCATTTATTCAACAAATACACCAATGAGTGTTCACTGTGGTCAAGGCACTGGGGTTTGCAAGACAAATAGAGCATGAAGTTGTCTTTAAGATGTTGCTGACCTTATGTATGTCTGCCAGAAAAGACTGTAAGGACCTTGGGCGTTAGGTTAGGTTGCTCTTTGCAGGTGGTATAATGAAAGTGCTGCTGTAACTTGAAATCACTTGAAGTTGTGCTTTGATGTTTATTGCTAGGCAAGAAACTATATGGTGACACTCTTTCACCTGTATTTTCTCCACTCAGACTTCACCATTATCCACTTTGGGTTTAAACAGAAATGTCTTCTCTATGACTGGAACACCTACACTGTAAGATTTCCTTCATGTTTTCTTCCTTTTTAAAGGCTTATTTTCTTTCTGTTAATTGTGGGTAGATAGAGCCTGGTACTTCTATGAGGTCTACCAACTCTGAGGGATCTCATGGGAGAAATAGACTAGTGTATTAATACTTCAGAAAGAAGAAAATCTGTCCTTTCAGTGGTCTGTGGCTGCCTAGCCATTCTTAAGGCTGCCTCAGCTTGCTGGGTCAGTCTGGGGTGAGAGTCATGCAGCTGTCAGGTCTGACATGGATTGCATGGGCAAGGAACAGCCTGCTCTCTGGATTCACCAGGAGGAGAGGAATACCAACCTTGTTTGGAGTAGATTAATAGAATCAGAGAACATTGGACTCATCCCTTGGGAATTTTATTAAGCGTCTAATATATACCAGGCAGTGGACTAGATGTGATTTGTTCATTCATTTATTCAACAAATACACCAATGAGTGTTCACTGTGGTCGAGGCACTGGGGTTTGCAAGACAAATAGAGCATGAAGTTGTCTTTAAGATGTTGCTGACCTTATGTATGTCTGCCAGAAAAGACTGTAAGGACCTTGGGCGTTAGGTTAGGTTGCTCTTTGCAGGTGGTATAATGAAAGTGCTGCTGTAACTTGAAATCACTTGAAGTTGTGCTTTGATGTTTATTGCTAGGCAAGAAACTATATGGTGACACTCTTTCACCTGTATTTTCTCCACTCAGACTTCACCATTATCCACTTTGGGTTTAAACAGAAATGTCTTCTCTATGACTGGAACACCTACACTGTAAGATTTCCTTCATGTTTTCTTGACACTTTGTGAGTAACCAGTAAAGAAAAGCTGAAATAGAAAATGTTTATAAGCAAATACAAAAACAAAAAATCTGCCAAGGACAACCATTTAGAGTGTACAAGACCAGAAATAACCAGTTCAGGTATTTTGGAAAGTCCAAAATTGTAGAAAATGCTCTAGTCATTTGAGGTAGGGAGAGAGACTGAGCTAAGTTCCCCCAAGAGCAGTCTCTCGCAGAACAGGCACTGTGGGGCTGAGGGGAACTTTGCAGAAGGAGAATGTGCTCAGTGACACTGGGGCAGATGTGTCTTCCTCCCTGTTAGGTTTGGTCCCTCCTTGTACCTCCTGTGTCTTCTGGTTTAGATGGGAAAATAAACGATTTACACACTCAGGCATCTTGACATGGTCATTTGACACACATACTTTGCTCTCCTGGAATGTTGCCTCAGGAGCCTTGATTTAAGAGCTGTTTTTTGGCCAGTGTCTACGTATACATGTTGTCTCTAGTTGCTCGTTGAGACACCAGGTTGAAGCAAGGCCATGACCTAACTGCCCAGTGTCGTCTTGAGGGGGCCAGGAGGTGTGGCTGGGAGAGTTTATCAGGGCACTTTGTGCAGTAATGGAGTGTCAGGATTTAGGCTGAAAATGCTTTGGGCCATGGTTTTTCCAGGTTGGATTTAGTGTTTTAATAATGTGCACATCTTTCTTGGTTTACTTGAGTATTTGAGGGTGCTTCCTCTGTAGGTGTGGTTCTGCTTGCAGTTTAAAAGAAGTACTTATGCTTGTCTCAAAGCATTATGGCTTCTCTGTGACATGCCCCAAAATGCCCAGCCACTATCACGATCAAACATGACTGCAGTAACTTGAAAGTGATTTCCATAGAAAAGCTGCACTGTCACCTCTCTCACCAGCCCCCTTCCGCCTCTTTAGCATTAATACGTTATTCCTTTGGCAGCTGGCCCATTTTAGGTGTACTCCTCTTACACAGCCTTGACAGGATTCTTCACCATGGCTGTTTTTATTTTATTTGATGTCCTATGTATGCAGTCTTATATTGTCGTCATTGTTTTTTCCTGTTTTCTCGGTGATATTATAAGGTCCCTAAGCTAAAGGACACTGCCCTCATTGTCTTTCTTTGTCTTTGTTCCCTGTAGCTTTGGTGCTGTCTTTGCTAAATGTCCTTGAATTTTCTTCCCCAACTCCTTGAGAACTATGAAAGCCTGCGTGATGCCTGCTAGAGGTGAGGTGGGGCAGCAGATTGGAACCTAGGCAGGTGGGAGTCTGAGGGATCCTGTTGGCCTATTCACGGGATGATTTAGGTCAGAGGTTAAGAGGAACAAAGTGAAAATCACTAGGTCGCTCCAGAGGGACCTGTCACACAGAAGAGCCAAAACAAAAATGAAAGATCCTCAAGCCAGCACCTCTGTTTGTCTCCACCTTGGAAATGACGGACTCCGTCGGTGGTCATCACACCTCCCTTCAGCTATTGCTCCCCAGGGGTGCCTGTCTGAAAGTAGGTCAGTTTCATCACTAGCTGCAGGTGGAATTTCAGATTTATTTTCTTAGTTTCTGTGTTGGGGTTCCTCACCAAGTTGTTCCCACTCTCCCCACTTTGGTGATTTTACTCACAGGACCCAGAATACTTGTGGCTGTAATTTATTACAGCAAAAGGATACAAAACAAAATCAGCAAAGGGAAAAGGCATATGGGGTGAAGTCTGGAGGAGACCAGGGGCAAGCTTCCAGAGTCCTCTCCCAGTGGAGTCACATAGGATATGCCTAATTCCTCCAGCAGCAATTTGTGACAGCACATGTGAAATGTCGTCTACCAGGGATGCTCATTACAGACCCAGAGTTCAGGGTTTTTGCTATGGCTGGTCACATAGGCACCCTCTGCCTGGCAAGGATGGAAATTCCTGACTCCGTCAACCACATTGCACAAACAATGTAGGCACGGTCAGCCTTCTTACCAGGGGATGGTGGGAACCCTGTCGAAATCTATGTTTCTAGACACAGGCTGAGGGCCTTTCTTCAGGTAATAGTCTCAGGCCTGCTGTGTTGTGCTTTAACAGTTTCTAAATTTGTTTTTGCCTTCTTACTTCAAATTTATTGATTTGGGGATGGGAATTTGTGTCAAATGATTCAAGATGCTGCAGGATGGGCTCGGTCTGTTGTTATTAGGGGAGAAACCCCGGTCTGCATGGACAGGTGTCTGCTTTCTGGCTGTCGTTTCACTTTGACCATTGCTGGCTTGCAGCCCATGTTTCTGCTGACAGGGCAGGTTTGCTGCGGCCTCTGTCCTCTCATCAAGGTAACTCATGCCCCGTTACTCCTATCAGCCTGCTGGGGTTGGCAGACACCCTAGTGTTGGCGGCGTTTCCTCTCTGTCATTCCCAGGCGGGCTTGGGGCTCTGGGTGCGCTGGTGCTGCCTGCCTCCAGGTGCACAGACTCAGGCTTGCAGCTCCAGGAGCAGCTTTCTCAGGGAGAAGCCATAGATGCTGTTGTAACTAACTTCAGTGTGAAACCTGCCTTGTCTTTTTAAAACAGTGTTTTTTGGGAACTTTGCCTTTGGGATTTGAACTTCTTTGTCTTTGAGATTTGCTCTTCTGTTTCTTGTTCTCTTTGGTTTTCAGCTTTGAGTTTTAGTTGCCTGGTTCCAAGGATGTCGTATCATCATGGTGGTTCTGAACTACATACTACTGTCATCTCTGGGCAGGTTTATTCCAGTGTCTTGCCAATGGGTTTCAGCCCCAGGCAAGTTCACTATGGATTCAATGTGACCAAAGAAATGAGAGTAGAACGTTCTTGGGGTGAAAGAGTTATACCCAACTTTATTCCCATGGTGGCAGGTCAATCACTAGAATCCTGCCCATTCAGAGCGAGTCTGCATGCAGCAGGCCAGTCTCTGCCTCTGGGCCTTTCTGCCCCCGCAGCCGTCTCAGTCTCTGACCTCGTGTCTGCTCTCCTACAGCCTTGCAGCCATGCCACCATGTTGCACCAAGCACTGGGCAGGGCTCTTCATATAGAGTCAAAAATGACACATTGCCCACACGTGTATAGTGACCTAGCCAACCAAGGCCAGTGAGAATCCTGGCCACAGGAACCTTCACTTTATCCACATCCTATCCTGTGCACACAAGTTCTAAAGCAGTGCAGGGGTCTTGGACCTGAGGGCATCGCAGTTGTGCTGGCGTCCTGCACACATGTTTGTATTAGGTCACACATGTGCTCCTGTGGCTTGGACTGTGCACTATACCTACCTGTCATGTGACTTGCTGACCTGATAGTACGGCCAAGTACCCCATGGTCCTTGCCAAAGCTTCTGGCAAATTGTGATGACATAGGGACTGACTTCTTACTGATGGTGGCTAAACTAAGCTGGCTCCATGCAAACTTGGGGCAGCTTCACTAAACATACTCTCAGAATTCAACCAGATAGGCATGTGGAAGGAAGGAGAATTGCCCTCCTAAATGGGCTGATTGGCAAACACCTATTTTTATGGGAGTCTTGTCACTAAATAGCTCTTGGGGACAAGAGTCTTTCTGACATGTTTATTAGAGTTTAAAGTTTTACCTGTTGCTGTCATAAGGACTACAGAGGGGATGAGTTGAGGGGTAGAGCTGTACAAGATGCTCCTTTTTTTCCTTAGAAAAAAGATAGTGAGTGGGGAGTGAGCCATTTGTGCATGGGCTGTTAAGTGGCAGCTCCCTTGCTGGACAGCGCAGTAAGGGAGGTGGTTATAGTGCAGCCTTCAGAGCCTCGATCCACCCGTTCTGCTGCCTATATCCATTGTGTGACCGTGAGCACACTTCTTAACCTTATAAGGTTCTTTTGAGAATTTATTTTCATCCAAGTAAATGGTTTAGAGCAGTGCCTAGTAAGAAGTATGTGTTTAGTTAATGTTAGCTCCTTTATCATTTTACTCAGTATTTTGAATAGAGTGGTGGTAGAGTTATGGAATATGAAACTCTACTTGTCTTTTTTTTTTAACTTTTCTATTGTCTTTTTTTGTTTGTTCTAGGTTGCTGCAGAAACTGGCCACACAGTAGTGTTGGTGGACCAGACAGAGAACATTCTGGCAAAATCTAGAAAGGTAATTGAAGAAAGCCTTACGAAAGTGGCCAAGAAGAAGTTTTCAGAAAACCACAAGGTAATTTCTCGTTATTGATGTCCTCAAGACCAGTCCTCTGGCCACATTGCATTTTTGATGGACTTCTGGCTTTTGCTTGCTTTTTCATTGTTTGTGTAAAACTCATTTCCTCATAACTTTAGACCAATATATTAACATAATCACTGAACATTCTATAGGGACTGATCATAAAACAGGAGAAGTAAATAACCATATGCTCTTGGATATGACGTTGAGGAGAAAGCAGCTGCAGGTGGGGATCTCACTCTGTCCACTGTGAATTGGGGATTAAAGAACACCTATTTGGTTATAATGATGGAAGAGAAAGAAATGGGAAGATAATTTTTGTATTTGCAAGTTAAAAAAGAGGTTGACATAATAAACGTTGGGATGGAAAATTTTGATAGCTTAGATAATATGCCCATTTATAATGTTCCTACTAGAGAGGAAAATACAGAATAAATCATTCTTACTTTCCAGGAGCAGAATAGGTTCAAGAACTTGAGGAATGTAGTGGGAAATGGTTTACTGGCTTTTTCTCCCTGGACCTTCACAGTTAATTAGAAATATTGTAGAAGTCACCCACATGAAATTCTGCTTACTTTTGTCATCTTGTTAAAGTTGCTTAAGATTAATTTCTTTGGGGCTTAGATGGAATTTCACTGTATATACAGGCCAGGGATGCAAATAGTTTTTGTTGTTTTCCACCTCAGATTTCCATAATAGTGTGTTCTAGTTGTCTTTTTACATTTTTAGTATGGTAAAATACATAACATATGTAGCATAAAATTTGCCATTTTAACCATTTTTAAGGGCACAGTTTAGTGACTTTATATTCATGCTGTTGTACAACCATCACCACTCTTTCCAAAATTCATTGTCCCAAACAGGAATTCTATGCCTATTAAGCAATAAATCTCCATCCTCCTCCCAGCCTTTGGTAACCTCTAGACTCTTTTCTGTCTCTGAATTTGCCTGCTCTGGGGATCTCGTGTAAGTGGAGTCATACAACATTTCTTTTTTTGACTGATTTATTTCATTTGGTATAAGATCTTCAGAGTTTATCTAGATTGTAGCATGTATCAGAACTTCATTCCTTTTTAGTGAATGAATAATATTCCACTGTATGTATGTACCACATTTTGTTTATCCATTCACCTACCAGTGGACACGGGTAGTTTTCACCTTTTGGTATCCCATGACCATAGCATTGGTATACTATCTGTTCAGTGTTGTATATTGAAGAATTGAAAGAGTTCTTCCAGGTGTATACCCAGAAGTAGAATTGCTGGGTCATATGACAATCCTGTGTTTAGATGTTTGAGGAACCTCCAAACTGTTTTCCATAGTGGTCGCACCATTTTATATTCCTCCAAGCACTAATTTCTCCACATCCTGACTAGTTCATTATTTTCTGTTTTTTCCCCCATGAAAACCATCAGAGGAGATGTGAACTGGTATCTTGTGGTTTTGACTTGCATTTTCTTAATATCTAATTACCTTTTAAAAATCAGAGGGACAAAGGTGGAGATAATTGTACCCTCTCCCTGAAAAAACCCAAACAATTAACATCACAGACAAATTAAGATCTCTGCTACTGGCCCCATACTATTGACTGATACAGGGCATGCTGTGATGCGGATCCAGGCAGGTAAAGTCCAAAGCCCTGAGCCGAGAGTCGGCATGTGTCACCCGTTTTCTGGGCCCTGCCCTGAGGGTTAAAACAGCGTGCCTGTGTTCAAGATGCTCAGCTGCTGACTGACCACTCCGCAGGGGTCTAGCCTCCTGATGTTTCTCCCCTCTGCCGGGGACATGCTTGGAGGAGGGAGGAGTCAGCCTCCACCTGTGAGACTGACCAGCTGTGACCAGTGCGGGAGCCAGGAGCTGTGGGTGGCTGCAGAGTGCCTGGAAGTGTGGCTAGTCTGAACTTAGTTATGCTGTAAGTGTGAAGCATATCGGATTTCAAAGACAATAGAAAAAGAAGAATGTAAAACACCTTTTTATAATATAAATTACATGTTGAAATGATAATATCTGATATATTAGGTTAAATAAAATTAATTTTGCCTGTTTCTTTTTCCTTTTTAAAATGCAACCAAAGGGATATTTATAATCACCTCTTATCTCACATTTTATTTCTATTGAACAGCTCTGGTGGTAGTTTTATTCCATGATAATTTTGGATACTTGCTTATGTTGACCATTTTGATGCCCCATGGGCAAATTACATCTTGAAAATTAAATGGCAGTAGGCACTGTTTGCTTCTGTCCTACCGAGGCCTCTCTTGGGAAACCTGGAGTCACAAATGAGGAAGATGAGGGGAAAAAGGGCCTGCAAGCTCTTTGAGGGCAGAGGTTGTGTCTGGCATGTTTTTCAAACACCACGTGATGGGGAATGACTATCTGAGGAATGACAGCTCCGTTTGGCATTCTTTCCCTCTCTCTTACCCATACTCAGTTCTTCTCTGCCTCCTATTAGAGGGGAATAGTCATCACCACCTCTCAGACTAATGGATGGTACTGAACTGAGCTTTACGCTTTTCTGGAAGGACCATGAGAAGCTTCATCGAGCAGTGCAGGGCTGTCTGTTCATTCCGAGAACAGATGCAGCAGGCCGAGACAGGTGCCATGAACAGGCAGTTCAGTAGCTAGAATGGAGCTGGCTAAGAGCGTGAAAGATTACAACCTCTACATGATAATGACAGTTGACCAACAGAGGCCGATTCTTGTGCTGGTGTCTAGAAGTACATTGAGATGCCACTGTCCCTAAGCAGAAAGGTACGGAGTTTTATTTCTTAGAACTTGAGGGTGCATTCCAGCTGTGCCTGGGCTGTGTTGGCCTGCCCCACTCTCCTCTTGCCATCTGCCTTGGCAGCATATCCCACAGTTTTCTGATGAGCCCAGTGAGCAGTTTTTCTCCTTCCTTCCATTGCGTCAGGCTGCTGATGAATTTGTGGAGAAGACGCTGAGCAGCATTTCGACCAGCACAGATGCAGCGTCTGTAGTTCACAGCACAGACCTGGTAGTGGAGGCCATCGTGGAGAATCTGAAGGTGAAGAATGAGCTCTTCAAGAGGCTGGACAAGTTTGCCGCTGAGTACGTGACCCCTTGGTGTTCCTACAGGGCTGGAGGGCTCCCTGTTGGGCTTAGGCTTCTCTCCCAGGAAGGAGTCTTCTGACATAAGCCCACTTCTCTTTCTACAAGCCCACAGCTGTTTCCAGAAGACCCAGCACTGTTTCCCTTTCCCTCCATCCCAGTTGCTTCCCAGGGCTTGTGTCGCCCCCATATGATCCCTGTCTCCAAATGACGGTGGGACTAACCACCGTGAAATGGAAGGTCCAGGGACAGGCTTCTGCCTCCTGCAGCCTCAGGGCTGTGGGTGCTCCTTGGCCAGATGGTGGAGGTGGCTTGGGAGTGTTCTTAAATGTCTTTTGAGGAGCCTCAGTAGTTTTCTGTCCCTCTTTTTTGGGTGAACAAACTATAGTGTAATTGAGGGGATTGCCTCTCTGCACAAAGTTTGCCAGGACTCTCCTGTTGGGAGCTTTATCTGGGTTAAATCAGAATGCTCTTGGAATCATTAAAGGAGCATCGAGTTCCTACCAGGCTTCCTGGCCGAAGGTGGCAGAGGCCAGCCAGCCCCATGGAGGTCAGGCGCCTGGGTCCCCAATGCTCAAACCTGTGTCCGCTGTGCCAGTAAGCTTGAGTGCACTTGGAGCTCCTGTTCTCGGAGGCTGGAGCATTCAGTTGTGTTTGACTCAGCTTTGGTGATGGTGACGTCTGACTAATTGTTTCCTGCTCTCCCTGGGGCTTGCTTGGCCACACTTCACCCTTCTTGGTTAGAAATGAAAGTCAGAACAAGGTTGTGTGACAAACGTGACTCTTTGGCAGCCGCCAGTGAGCAGCAGCAGAGAGGGACACCTGCATCCCAGTCTGCGGGCTGCCGGCCCTCAGGGCTCTGTGGCCTGGTATCTGAAGAGGCTCTGGCCCTGACAAAGAGAAGGGACTGTCTTTCTGCCACTTATACATCACTCTGCTGACAACCGTGCTCATGTTCTTAACACTGGCATTTAGGGGTGGTAGAAACATCAGATAGAAACAGAAGACTCCCTTCTGTTGGTGTTAGGGGTGTTGACTCCCAAGTCAGCAGGGAGCCCCTTAAGGTGGTAAAATGCTAGCCCCAGGAAGGGAGTTTAGGCAGGCAGTTTGGCCTTTATTGAAATGTTCGGGCACTCCCCACTGACAGGGACAGGTCTGAGTGCCCTCTTGTGTCAGCATCCAGTAATTGAAGGACTGTTAGGGCAGTCAGGTGGACTGGGGACAGCTGCCGGCCCCACTACTTCGCTGTCTGACCTTGAACCAGTCAGGAAGCATTTCTGGCCCTCAGTTTTGTCATCTGTAATTGAGTCGAGCCATTACGGGTAAATAATTTCCAAGACCTTCCCAGTTCTGACTTTCTAGGTTTCCCTAGTAATCTAGGGGGTAGTAGTACCTGTTGCCCAGGGTGGTTTAGGAGATTAATTCAGCTCACATTTCCTGAGTGCCTGCTGTGTGTCAGGCACTCCGCTAGGCTCTTTCACTTAAGTGTGTGTGAACCAGGTGTGACGTGCAAGAGGGCATGCCGTAGTAGGCACACTGTAGATGTGACTTGGCTTCTGGCCATCAGCCCTCCTTCTCCACACTCATTTTCACTTTAGATCCCCACCTTTATTGATCGCCTGCTAAGTTTTTTGTTTTTTTAAGCCACTTGATTAGGTAAAACTTCACTATATAGTGGAAACCCTGAAGAAACAGCTGCACCTGGAGGAAATGTGACTTCATGGCTGCAGCGTAAGGAGAGCGGATGGGGAGTGTGGCTCAGGACCCAGCCAGCCAAGCTGAGGCCTGGCTCTGCCCTCTGGACGAGGCATGGACTCTACAGCGCACCACAATCCCCATCAGCGCCTTTCGTTCAAGGCCAGGGGGCATTGCTAATAGTCATTGTGCTTGTGCTGCTGATCTGCTACTAGTACATTTAAGAGTAGTTTATTGGGTACCTGAGTATCAGAAAGAGAAAAACAAAATGGTCCAAGGGAGTCAGATGTTTGAAGGAAAACATGAGGGTATACTTTTTTTGTGGAAGATCAGACAATCTGTATGTTTAATATGTCATACATTGTGTCTGTGTTGAAAGAAGTCAGTGTAAGACACTGTAAGGAGCCAGGGTCAGCCTGGCTCACTGGAAGAGATGGAGGCAGAGGTCTGTTGGGAGGAGGTTTTTCCTTCCCTCTAGGAAAATGTGTGCAGGGAGTGCCGGGCTTGGAGGCGCTCGGGACTAGGCTCTGAGGTAACATCATCCTCTGCTAAAGCAGCCCTCCAGTCAGTGTGCCTTTGATCCCCCTCTCAGATGTCCTACCAGGAGGAGCCACGTGTGGAGGGTGTAGCCGCCCTGCCAGCATGCCATGGCCCTCAGTTGACCCCACAGGCCGTGGTGTAGGTGTGTGGCAGCGCAGCAGTGGCAGTGCGCCTGGTGTCACTACAGACCTTCTCTCATCACCTGGAATGGGTGATGGTCCATGTTACTTCCCCTTTTCACCAAAAAGCAAGAAACTTTGAAAAGGAGAGTTTTAAAACTTTAAAAATGTTATTTTCTTTAAAAAAAATGGCTCCTTTACTTGGCTCTTAAATTGTCTCACTTGGAAGTTGTTTGAGAAAGGTGGGCACTCTCCTCAACTGAGGACCTTAGGGACCGTCCCTGGGCGGCCAGCCATCCTGCCACACCTGCTTCTCTGTTCACCTCACTCTTCACTCCCCTTTCCCAGCTAGTTTCTTCTCCCTGCTCATCTTCTTCTCCTGCCCCTTGCTCCTGATCTCAGGCAGATTGTAATACTGCCTTTTGGGTACACAGGAACCCCCAAATCTGGTCATGAGGACACACTCCCCTTCCTGCGTGCTGACCAGGCCATTGTCGTATTAGCTGTAGGCAGTTGTGTATACTTCAGTTGTGTATACTTATCCACAAGGTGGCGCTGTGAGAAAGCCTGAAGTCGTGTTCATCCTTGTTTAAAGATTGCCTATTAGGCGTTTGGCACCCGACTTTACTGTGGACTTAAAAAAATTAATTTGGTTAAGTCAGTATGGACATTTTTAAATTAATTATTTAATAGTTTATACACACAAAAAGAAGGTGGTACTGCTTTTTAAAAAATATTTTGTAACCAGAATACCTTCAGTTACATTTATCTTGCATATTCATGTATCCTTCCTTCCCCAAATCCACTGGTGTAACCTTAAAACTTCTTTTGAACCATATTGGTTTCCCTTTGTTTTCATTTTAATCCCCATTCAATGGGAAAGTAAAGCTTTTCACTCGAGGGAAAAAGATCTTTGTTCATATTTATTTCACATGTTTCATGTTGGGGATTCAGGTATCCCTTTAGTTTTCTGTTTGAGTGTCTGTGATGTATCCTTTCTTTCATTAGTCTTTCTCAGAGTTCCATTTTGTGGCTGAGGTTGGTTAAGTAGCTGCCTCCTTATATTCCATGTAAAATGAGAATTAACTGATCCAAGTGGGAGAAATTTTGCTCCCTTAAATTGTGGTGATACTGGTAACAAATATACCTTTGGAAAAGATAACTTTTAAGTTGCTTAATTTAAAATTTCAGAACTTGAATGAAACAGGGGACTTGATTTGAGCCTTAAATGAAGATGTGTCTTCAACCTGACTTCCTCCAGGACTCAGGATAGGAGGTCTGGGCAGTAAGCAGTTGGCTTGCGCATTGCACCCAAGAGTGGTACTGACTGTTTCCAGAGGTGGGACTCATTGCGATCCTCCACCATCTTTCTCTCCACAGACACACAATCTTTGCCAGCAACACTTCCTCTTTGCAGATCACAAGCATAGCCAATGCCACCACCAGACAGGACCGATTCGCCGGGCTCCATTTCTTCAACCCGGTGCCCTTGATGAAGCTTGTGGAGGTCAGTAGGTACCTGCTTGTGCGTGTCTGTCCACTCTGCCAGCTCTCATCGTGCCAGTCCTGCCACTTTGAGTTGGGCCCTTTCTGCTCCTTGGAATTGCACTGGGTGGATTTTAATGGGAGGGTAAAAGTTTGTATTTGTGCTTATGTTTCTCTAGCCACCATCTGTCCTTTGAGAGCCACAGGAAGAAAGTGCACTTTATATCTAGAAAGGCCCGTTTGCTTTGTTTCTTTGCAGCCCTGTGTTCTGGTCCAACAGGGCTGTTAACTTTGTGGAATGTCTTTACCTATCTGTGCCATAGCTGGTGGGCAGTGCGGAGCGAGGCGTCAGACTGGGCAGGCAGCACTAGAGAGCGAGCCCTGGCTTGATGACACCACAAGGGGCGAGCCACACGTGATCATATTGTCTCCCTGAGGTCAGTGTGCTCCCAGCTGGAACTAGAAGTTTACTCCATAGCCTGATTCTACACAGGAGCCACTGTATCACCTCGTCCACCATTCCTGGGTTGAATTCCAGCCCAGGTAACAGGGCCTTAGTATTATTCACAGATGAGGCCCATCTCCCATGTGTTATGATCACAGTGTCAAAGCAGCTCCTGGAACCTGGAACGTCCTCACTGCAGCCCATGAGGTGGATGGGAGTGGCCAGGGTGGCTGCCCATAGTGGTCCTGTTGGCTTGCTGCTGCTTGCTGGCTTGGAGACGTGGGTATGAGGGAGACGAGTCATAATAGACAATCTGTGCCTGAAATGTGGCAACTTGAGTTTTACAGGGGGCTAATTACAGGGTCTGAGGAGCAGCCACTATTAAAGCAGCTTTTATTCTGAGGTTGAGGAGTTACTGCCTTGCGAACTGTGGGGGATCGTGGGAGGTGTGGAGCCAGACGGACCTCTGGGGAGGGCCCAGCAGGATTTGTTTTCTCCACTGCTGCTTCTCCTCCAAGTCCTTGCCCTCCTTTATCTCCTCACTGACTGCCCCCTCTTCTGCCCTCCCCAGCATAAGCGTTGACTTCTAGTTTAATCATGACTGTAGACAGCTCTGACCCATCCAGTGATAGGAATTTATTTGTTCTGTTAACATTGCTCCTTAGCATCTTCTAATTTATTCCCAGTCCCTAAGGCTGTTTTTGGAGAAGTTGACGGATGAAGGGGAGGAGTGTGGGAAATAGAAGAAACAGCAGTTGTCTTTAGGCAGAAGAGAGCAAAGTGGGATGCACTTGGCAACATTTCAGTACTTACGCATTAGTTACTTTCTGTAGTTGCTGTATCGTATATATGTGTTTGAGAGATAAAGATGTATTTTATAGATATACTTCAAACTCTAATAATGTTTTCAATTGCATTTATCTGATAATATCCATCTGTGTCTTTGGAAATGTAGCATTTGGTTGTTAACAGCTAATGCTTAGTAAATGTTAACTGTTTTCTAGAAAATGTTGTCTTAAAGTGCTCTTCTCTGTTCAATTTTTATTGCTTAATTCAAGCATTCGCATAGGTGTCTCATGGTGAGCACCAAAAATGAATCACAAGTTGAGCGGCTCTTTTTCTTGGGACTGGGCTCATTTATATATGTTTTTTTTTTCTTCAGACTTTATGTTGGAACTATAAGAATATCTGTAGCACAATTGCTGTTTGTTGAATAAATGAATAAATATGCATCCCTCCTGTTAAAACACCTTTACTAGTGACTCCATTAAACCAACCAATTATTTTAAAAGTCTGTAATTAGCGTCCTCTACCCTAGCTCTGTCTCTGTGGTCCTGGTGAAGCCCTTTTTTCACTTGCTTTAGAATAAATAACTCTTGGATTGCCATTTGATTTGCAACACCTACATAGCAGTTTCTGGTCTATCTCATCTCATCCCATTCGTCATCCCCACCTTCATGGTGCTTTTTCACGTTGCTACTCATTTACTTCCCTTAGTGTCATAACATTCCACCACACCCCACGCTGTGAACACAGTAAAACACTGTAATAGATAATAATTCTCTCCATTTATGTAGCACTTTTCATCCTGCAGAGACCCTGGCTCATTAAGCCATGCAGTCCTCCTACAGGAGGGAGGATGTGTCAGGTTTCATTATCCCCATTTTATAGAAGAGAGGTGAGGCATGGAGGGTTGATGTGACTTGCCTGAGCTTAAATAAAGGGTCTGATATAGCAGCAAGCCTGTTTGCTTTGACTCTCATGGAAGTTCCTGAGCTGGTATTTAAATTATGTATATATATTTTTAAGTTGACATTCAGCTCGGTCTCCATTTCCATTATCTAATTCTGACAGGTGAATTCTCTAAATACTTCCCTAGGGCCAGCTGCCAGGCATGGTGCTTGGCCTGTCTCCTGTGGGGCCCAGCAGGCCACTGTCAGTGGGGGAGCAGTTGCACCCCAAGGTCAGAGGGCTGTGGGGCCTTCCTGAGGTGCCTGCCAGGTGGCAGGCCCCAGCCGTAGGCCCCTGTTTGCTGGAAAGAAAAGCCTTCCTCTGTGGGCTGATTGAAGAGAACCACTGGGTTTTGGAGCATCTGTGCCAGGAGAGTGAGGGAGGGGCATCCTCACCTCAGAGTCTTAGAGGCCTGTGACATTGGCAAACCACTCAGGTTGCTCGGGGCTCCTTCTCCTCATCTGTATAAGAGGAGGTGGGTCTCTGTGCAGAGTACTTCAAGGGCAGACACCATAGTCTAGTAGTAGGCTTCAGTCATCGCCCTGAAGTCCGTAACAACAGCAAAGTAAAACACTAACAAAAGCCAGCATTTACTGAGCACTTCATACCTCCTAGGAGCTGTGCTGAATGCTTTACCTCCTGATCTTGCTCCATTCTCGCCCAACTCCATGAAGTGGGTAGAGAGATTTCAATGCTATTTCACTTTTAAGAAACATGCCCAGGGTCACAAAGCCAATAAATGGTGCAGCTGGGATTTGAACCCAGTTCTGCGCAGTGTAGGTAAACGGTTCTGCACATGTACACACATTTATATTTTAAACCTTGATTTTGTACATTCTCTAGAACTCCACTGTCTTAAAATGGACACTTTGTTTCTGGCTTCAGATCCCTGTATTCTGAAACTGAATCTGTTTTTGCCTCCTCTGTGTATATGTTTGGTCAGTGTCATCTTGAACTGTTGTATTGAACTTGCTGACTCTCTGGTCAAAATTCTGCTTTGCATATTTCCAGGTCATTAAAACACCAATGACCAGCCAGAAGACATTTGAGTCTCTGACAGACTTCAGCAAAAGCCTGGGAAAGCATCCTGTTTCTTGTAAGGTAGAGTATGGGCGGCTTGGTGAGGCGGTGATTTTCCTTGGACCCTGGCTTCTGGATGGAATTCTTCCGCAGTAGAATGACAGAAGACTGGCACATTGGCTGCGGGCCTGTCTGTGGGCTGTGAATAGCAAGCAGCACATCCCTTCTAGTTGGCCAGCCAGGAAACCAGATGCCTAAGCCATGCCCAAGGCCATCGGGAGGAGAGTCTGAGATCCGAATGGAGCCCAGGGCTTCAGCTGAATAGAAAACTCTAGACCTCACTGGGTGGTGGCTTTGTGTGCTGATGAGTGAGTGGCTGTGTGCCCATAAGTGGTTTCTGTTACCTCCTCAGCTTTAGCTTCTGCTGGGCCCTTGGGGGCCGGAGCCTGTGCGTCTAGCACAGCCTGGTGGACATGTGTGCCCTGGACGGAACACCAGGCTTCCCTAAGGGAGAAGCCCTGCGGCGGCTGGGGAGTGAGGCGAGCAGGAGCCTCCTCCCCATGCGGCCGATGATTTGGTCTTTCAGTGAGAAGCATGGCCAGTGTCCATTGGCCTCTGGCCTTTTTTTCCCTTCAGATGCCCAGTTATTATATGTAAAATAATTGTCACCAGCTGTTTTTTTGATTACCTCTGGTCTCTCTGTTTGCTTTAGTTCCTCTTTAGTTCCCCCCAAACGTGGGGTTACACGTCTGTGCAACTGGGCAGTTTTTGTAAAGGGTCAGTCACGTCACAAATGCCCCACCATCACAGACTTTCACAAATTGGTCATCTACCTTTTTTGACTGTCACCTTTTTTATCATTGCAATTCTTTTCAGAGCATACTTTGCTTTTCTAAAATACTCTCAAGTTTGAATTCACCGTGTTGTATTAACCCATGAAAACTCCTGTTGTTCATGAAGCATTTGAATATGTCATGAGTCAGTGTGGATCTCAGTAGCTGGACAGAGCGGACTTACATGTGCCAATCCCTCCAGTCCAGGAGTGTAATGTTACTAGAAGTCTTATTTTCTTAGTATTCATTTCTTGTTTGTTTAGTTGTATGGTTTTAAATTGCCTGGATTTTTTAAAAATCTTATTAATAACCAGATGTTACAGTTGCACTTTCTTACTGGTTCATGCTTTGTTTGTGGCAGAAGGTAGCAGTAGCATTAGAAGGAACACCCATGTCTAGCAAATCAAAAGCTAGGTGTGAAAATGGAAGTGCAGGATGAGCCAGTGGTTTAGCTTCAGCAGTGTGACCATTAGCTCATAGCTCATTAGCTCCATTGGGGCAGCCACAGCAGGAGCTAGGAGCTCTGGGGTCTGGTAGAGTGCCCATGTTCTGTCCTCCAGAACTCTCCCCTAGTAGTGCTTTTGGGGAGCCTTTTGGGTCAGTTTTCAGGCTCTTGGTGTGGTGTCCAGGCAGTATAAGGCAACCTGGTAGAATGAGGGTTAGCAAACTATGTGTAATTGGTCTGACTGCAGCTATTCTAGGGTGTATGTTCTTTGTTGCATTGTCTTGATTCTGCAGCTGTCGTGGGAACTCAGCACAGACAGCACCTGGGAGCAGGGTGGCTGTGCTGCAGTAAAACCACGGAAACCGGCCGTGGGCTGTGGTGGGCATGCAGGATTACAGTTTACCAATACCCAACATAGCAGAGTGACATGAAGCACCGGAATGTGTCTGTATTTATTAAAGACTATCTCTTTATGTTCCACCAGTATTGTGAGAGTATAAGTCTGGGCACCCTTAGTAGCATTGAATACTATTAGAATGGGGAGAAAACCCTTTGTCAGTGACCTTGTTGGCAAAATGCTCTTTTGTTCTAATGAGTATTTTTTTGATTACTAGTGAGTTTAAAAAATACTTAATAAGTTTTAGCACTATTTCCTTACCTCTATTAGCTCTTTATGTAGGTGATATTAACTCTATATAAAAATTCCATATAATCGGAGCAAACATTTTTCCCAGACTACTTTCTGATTTCTAACTTTGTATGTGGTGCCCTTCATATACTCTAACCTGAGTTGCAGTGATAAATTTTTTGAAGTTGAAAAGCATTTTTGCCCTAGTTATAATGTCAGCATCATTCCATTAAATATAATCTTGGTTAAACTGATAAAGTTCTTTTGTCCATCTTCCTTCCTGTGAAGATAGGGTAGGGCATGGTTTCAGCTTGTCCAAAGTGAAAGGAGGTACAGCTCTCATGGCCTCATTGCCCAGCGCATCACCTGTGGCATGCGTCAGGTCAGCCTTGGGTAGTGTGGGCGGCTGGCCATCTGCACTGGAGACATTTATGGAATGCCTCATGTACGCTGGCAGTGGGACACAAGGAAGATCGCAACCTTTTGTTAAAAGAAGGGGCGCTGTTTAATCAGTGGAAAACAGTTCATATTAAATACCACCAAAAAAATGACCAATGTGGCCTGTTCCATGGGCCCCTGGAAGAGATTGGTAGATAGATTCCAGGTCCCACGGGGCCTCCAGGAGAGGTGGTAAGCATGTTAACAAGGTGGGAAATGGGTGACCAGGGCGTGTAGCACAAACAGTTGTCCAGGGTGGAGACTCTCAGTGGTGTGCCACGGAAGGCCAGCAGTCTACCAGGGTATCTGCTTGTCTGCCTGGCACCTGTCCCCAACTCGACCCTCCTGCCCTGGGCGCTGGGGCATGAGAAAATCCTGAGTAGCCCAAGAATGGCTCCTGGAAGGTCGTGCTCCTGTGAGGGTTGCTCAAGGCAGAGTGTTACTTTTTCTAGATTCCTGACAGGAATGTGGAGAGGAGAGGAGAGAAGAGGAGGGAAGTGGCTACTGTTCAGTGCTGGATTATGTGCCCAGCATTTTCTGTGGCTTCTGATTGTCTTCACCTGTGAGGCACACATGATTACTTCCATTTACAGATGATGAAACTGCGTTTCAGGATGACACGGTTTCAGGGAGTATTAGAATTGAGCCCAGATCTGCCTGTCCTCAAAGCCAGGCTCTTTCTAATGACCCCTCTGCCTTGATCTGCCTTTATTTCAGGATCTGTGCTGTTGGGCCATCTGGGTTTGATTTTTCTTTTTCTTTTTAAGTACTGTCATTGTTGGATAAGTTGCCATGTAACATAGAAGTAAGGCTGTGCTGATACTTTGAAACAGATTTTGAAAATGTATAGCTTAATAAATGTGGATAAGATAGCACAGGGCGAGAAGGGGCGGTCTAACGACTTCCTAAAAGAGAAAGTGCAATGAAAATTCACTTGTCTTTTATTTTTTTCTCCTAAAACAGGACACTCCTGGGTTTATTGTGAATCGTCTTGTGGTGCCATACCTCATGGAAGCAATCAGGCTATTTGAACGAGGTAGCTGTCCTGACCCAGACTGGGAGCAGGTTCTGTGGGAGGGGCCAGGCCATGCAGAGTCCAGAAGGAACTTCTGTTTGCTAGCTGTGTGAATCGGCCTCGCCCACCCTGGGCCCTGGGCCTTTGTCACTGCGTTCCCAGATCCCCCTGGATTCTCTGTGAGGCCTCTGAGATGTGGTTTTGGGATCCCCCACTGCAGTCCCAGCCAAAGCCATTACGTGGCCAACCATATTTACATCTGGATCTTGCTTTTGATTAAAAGGTTTACTGCTTAAAATAATATAGTAATGTAAAACCTAGTGGTGTAGGAGACCTTTTAAGTTCCTTAAGGCTCTAAAATTTGTGACAGTATGACAGATGATAGGAAATAAGCAACAAGATGATCTCTAACAGCCCTTCCTATCCTTTCTAAATGATGCCATGATGCTTTTCTGTTGTTTTAACCTTCAGAATGGTCTAAAACGCTTTTCTTAATATTTATTGATTGACAAAGAATTAATTCCCCTGTTGTAGAAAATATAACACCTGGAACATGGTCCAGGGTTATAAAGTGACATGCAGCCTCCTGCTTACCTTCCCTACCACATTTCTGGAAATGTAACTATCATGTCTGCTTCAGAGTCAAACAGGCCTTAATAGGACTTGATAAAAAGCAAGTATAATTGTTTTCAATTACTTTATTCAGAAATGCTCGCTCCTGAGAATGTCATCTTTTAAACAAAACATTTACACCAGCTCTTCTGGAGAGATGAAAGAACATTTGCTTCCTTAAAATCTGCTTTAAATATTAAAACTCTTCTCTCTGTTTTATGGATGCATTTGCCTCACTTTTGCTCCAAGATCAAACCAACATTTCTGTGTTTATCAACAAATATATCTAATGACACCTCAAAGAAAGTGTGAAGCATTTTGCCTTACCTTGAAAGGCAGGTTTTGGGGTATTTTTTAAGCAATGTTTTAGAATGTAGCATTCAGGTGATCCACCTCTGAATGTTTTTTTTTCTCACTGAAACATACTGTCACTTTGATATATTTCAAATGTACCATGCATCTGATGGTCAGTTGAAAGCCATTTTCTTGTCTTCTTCTCCCCTCCCCTCCACAGTGGTCCTTTCTAAACAGGTTCCCTTTGTCACCAGCCAGATGTGAGGTACAGCTGAAAAGAGGGCTCTGAAACACTCTGAGACGGCCCTTGGCACTGCCTCTGCAGGCAGCAGGAGAGCCCCTTTTCCTCTTCCCACAGCCTTCTGGGCCTGGGGGCCAGAGCATCTGCCTCTTGAGTTGCTGGGTGTCAGGCCTGGGGTAGGTGCTGTTTTCCAGCAAGCCACACTGTGTTATGGACTTTATGTCACCCCTCAGGCTTCTTACCATGTTGCTTCTACCCCCTTGCTGCTCACCTCCTCAGCCAAGCGCAGAGGGGCACGTGGATGCACACCTGCCACTGTCTTCATTTGCTGCTCTGAGCAGCTGGCTGAACTGCATCTGTTCTACACTGAAACCTGAAGCTGTCTGACTGCTTCCTCTCTTGCCTGCTGGGTCTGTTCATTTGTCACTTGTGGTGCTTCCTGTCATCCCGGCTCTCCCTGTGGCGGGCATCCCGCCTCAGTGAGGCTCCTTCAGGCAGCATCAGCATTCACGGTACCTCACGTCTTTCATTAGCGAGGCTTCTCCACGTGCTTACTGAAAAATAGCATGTTGTCCAGGAAGGTGAAGAGACACTGTATACTCTCTCTGTCCCTGCAGCTGGAGAGTCTCTGTGTCCAGCAACGGAGTCATGCAGGGAAGACACCCTGTGACTTTGTTTAGCGCAGCCTTCCCCAAATTCATTGGGGAGAACTTCTCTGTAAACATGGTCTTGGTCAGCTCAGGCTGCTGTACAAAAATAGCATACATGGGTGGCGTATAAATGACGGGTATTTATCTCTCACAGTTCTGGAGGCTGAAAGCACCTGGTGGCAGGTCCTCTGCCTCTGGTTGTGTCCTCACGTGGTGGAGGGCAGAGCACAAGCTCTCTGGTGAGTCTGAGAAGGTCTCTAATTCCCAGGGGACTCCAGCCTCATGACCTCATCTAATCGTGATCATCTCCCAAAGGCCCATCTCCTGATACCATCACATCCGAGGGCAGGACTTCAACATAGGGGTTTGGGGAAATGCAGACATCCAGTCCATAACAAATGTACAGACACAGCTGGGGTGTGAGTGCCCCACGCGCATGGCTTGCCAAAATGATCTGTTGGAGGCTGTGTTGTGTTGCAGGCTCTTAGAAGGTTATATGGGGCCTTAGAGCAGAGAATCGTCTCAGTCGTTATTCACTTGAGCCTCATGGGCAACTGAGAAGCTGTCAGAATGCCTTTGGCCCCCAACCTGTGCTCCTGGCCAAAGCGCTGTGGTGTGTAGTAGCCCCTCACCACTGCTGTCTGATGTGCTGAGCTGTGTGGCTCCTGTGCTGGGCCTTCTTTACCAGCGCCCTTTAGCTTCTCGCCCTTTCTGTGGCCTCATTCACACTGTAATTGAGGCCTGCCTGGTGCCATCGGTCACCTTCATCCCTGTGGGCAGAGCTTGCTTTCTAGACCATTGATCAGGTTGGTGCCCAGTGGCCAGCAGCTGCACGCGCAAGCGCCCACCCTAAGAGGTCACCATCGGCTCTGGTGGGGTGGTTGGGGCCACATGGCTGCTCCATGCGGGGGGGCTGTGCCTGGGCAGACCCTTGGGGTGTTAGGAGCTGTCCCCTCGGTCACTGTATGACATCCTGCTCACACTGCTGTTCCCTGAGAATACATTTTTTTTATGCCTTGCTGGAGAACCTCTCTCCAAACAGCCTGCCCCTGCTGTCAGCGCCACATGCCTTACTCCCACCTTTCTCACAGGGCCCTGCCTGAGTGTCCTCAGTGCTCCAGTGGGACGGAATCCATCATGACTGCCTGTGCCGGCTCTCCCTCGGGGTGTTGCCACCCCCTCCCCTGTGGCCTGTTTCTCCTCTCCCACTATGCTTGTTTTCTATTGCAGGGCCTGGGTCCTCATCCCCCTACAGTGCCTGTGTAGGGCAGGCATTCCGTGGCTGTTGATGAGTGAAGGACAGTGGCGGTGCCATCTCTGACCTTGGTGCTGGCACCCTCCTTGGCTTTGATACCAAGCACGGTTGGTAGGTGGTGCCAATGAGCCAGCAGAAGAAATGTCTCTGGGCAGGTTCTGGCCCCTGCCGCGCAGGAGGTCCCAGAGGCCACTAAGGAAGCTTTCCTTTGCTGCTAGGGAGGGGCTTTTGCTTGAGAGGAGAGGGCATCCCATGAAGCTCTGAAGGCTGATGCAGAGTTTTGTGTGCACATGTGTTCCCTCTGTCAGATTCTCAGTGAAGTGCTTGACCCTAAAGAAGTTTAAGAATTATTAGTCTAAAACATGATAGCATATTTAACTCGCGCTTGGCATACCAGTCTTTGTATGTGTATTTTATTTCTCTACTTTCGGCCTCTTTTTCTTGGTATTAACTCAGAAAAGAATTTTTAGAGCTGCTGACTTTGTAAAACTTTAGTTTTTTCCCTTAGACGTGCTGTATGTTCATATTACTTTTTAATGTAGTCCTCAAGTGAGTCTCTAAATCTGAATCGCAGAATTGCCTCTAAGGGTCATTATCTGACCTTGAATATAGATTTGATTAAATGGTTTTAGGTAAGTTGGAACTATTATGCCAAGAGATTTCTGTCCCCAGGAGCCTATATTCTAGTGAGGGCGACACCCGTAGTAAATGAACCAATGGATAACAAGTTAGGTTGTGATAACTAGTGATGGAGAAAGATAAAGTGTAGGGAATGGCAAGAGCCCTAGCCTGGAGTTCAGATAGTTGCTGGTTTGAGTGCAGGAAGGAAGGGGAGGCACTCTGAAGAGGTGACACAGGAGCAGAGAGGCCTGCAGGGAAGAAGGGGTTGAGCCGCACAGACGTTTGTGAATTAGAAGGCGCCAAGCACTGGGGGCAGCATCAGGTGCTGAGCCATGAGAGAGGCATGTGCTGGGCTGTCATTCCAGCATTCCAGCTCTAACACAATAGAAGCTCTGAGGTCTCATGTCCTCTGAGTAGAAGCCACTTAGCTGCCATGTTCCTGCTCATTCTTCCCTTTGCACATGCTGTTCCCTCTACCTGGATTACCTTTCCCTTCCCATTTTTCCTGTATGATTCTCTTCATCCTTCAGGACCCAGGCCTCAGTGGTTATGATGAAATCAGGCAGTGTGAGTGAATTTCTCCATGTTTGCCCACACACAGCTCTGTGAATCTCCATGAATCTTCAGCACTTGTTATGATGAGATATTTCATTTACATTTCTGAGTCCTCCCAGTATAGCGTGAGTACTGGAGTGTTTTCCTGTTTTTCTTTGATCATTCCAAGTCTCTGGTGCTTGATGTGTAACAGATATACAGGCATCCTTCATTTTATGGTACTTCATTTTAATTTACTTTATAGATACTGCGTTTCTTACAAAGTGAAGGTTTGTGGCAATACTGCATCGAATAAGTCTGTTGGCACCACTTTTCCAACAGCAGTTGCTCACTTCATGTCTCTGTGTCACATTTTGGTAATTCTCACAATTTCAAACTTTTTCATTGTATTTGTTATGTCTCTGATCAGTGATCTTTCATGTTACTATTGTAATTGCTTTGGGACACTGTGAATTGTTCCCAGATAAGATGGTGAACTAAACTGATCAATGTCATGTTTATTCTGACTGTTTCATTGACCAGCCAGTCTCTGTCTTTCTCCCTCTCCTTGGATCTCCCTGTTCCCTGAGATATAACAAAAGTGAAATTAGGCCAATTAATAACCCTACAATGACCTCTAAGTGTTTAAGTGAAAGGAAGCAGCTTATGTCTCTCACTTTAAATCGAAAGCTAAAAATGGTTAAGTGTAGGGAGGAAAGCATGTCAAAAGCTGAGATAGGCTGGAAGCTGGGCCTCTTAAGCCAAACAGCCAAGTTGGGAATGCAAAGGAAACGTTAGAGGAAATGAAAAATGCTGCTCTGGTGGACACGTGAATTCACAAGAAGTGAAACAGCCATTTTGCTGAGATGGAGAAAGTTTGAGTTGTTTGAATAGAAGGTCAAACCAGCCACAGCATCCCTTAAACCAAAGCCTAATCTGGAGCAAGGCCCTAACTCTCTTCAATTCTGTGAAGGCTGAGGAGTGAGGAAACGCAGTAGAAGAGTGTGTAGCTAGCAGAGGTTGGCTCACGAGGTTTAAGGGAAGAAGCCATGTTAGTAACAAAAGTGCAAGGGGAGGCAGCGGTTGCTGCTGGAGAAGCTGCAGCAGGTCATCCAGAAGGTCTACTCAGATCATTAACAAAAGTGGCTACAGTCAACAACATATGTTCAGTGTAGACAAAATAGCCTTCTACTGGAAGGAAAGGGCGTCCAGGACTTTCATAGCTAGAGCGGAGAAGTCAATGCCTGGTTTCAAAGCTTCAGAGAAGTTGATTCTCTTACTAGGGCTAATGCAGCTGGTGACTTTAAGTTGAAGCCAGTGCACATTGACCATTCTGAAAATCATAGAGCCCTTAAGAATTATGCTGAATCTATTCTGCCTGTGCTGTATCAGTGGAACAACAAAGTCTGGATGAGAACACATCTATTTACAAAATGATTTACTAAATATTTTAAGCACACTGTTGAGACCTACTGCATAGAAAAAGGGTTCCTTTCAAAATATTACTGCTCATTGACAGTACACGTGATCACCCAAGAGCTCTGATGGAGGTGAACAAGATGAGTGTTCTCATATCTGCTAACAACATCCATTCTGCAGCCCATGTATCAAGGAGGCATTTTGACTTTCAAGTCTTATTTGAGAAACATTTGTAAGGCTATAGCTGCCATAGATAGTGATTTCTCTGATGGATCTGGGCAGAGTCAATTGAAATCCTATGGAAAGGATTTGCCATTCTAGACGCTATTAAGAACACTTGTGATTCATGGGAAGAGGTCAAACTTCACAAGAAGTTTGTTAATTGCAACCCTTGTGGCTGACTTTGAGGGGTTTAATACTTCAGTGGAAGAAGTAATTTGGTGAAATAGCAAGAGAACTAGAATGAGAAGTGGAGCCTGAAGATGACTGAATTGCTGCAATCTCAGGATAAAACTTGAATGGATGAGGGGTTGCTTCTATGGATGAGCAAAGAAAGTGGTTACTTGAGGTAGAATCCACCTCTGGGAAGATGCTGTGAAGATTGTTGAAATGACAACAAAGGATTTAGAATATGACATAAACTTAGTTGATAAAGCAGAGGCAGGGTTTGAGAGGACTGACTTCAGTTTTGAAAGAATTTCTACTCTGGTGGAATGTTTTCACACAGAATCTGTATGCCACAGATAAATTGTTCATGAAGAGAAGAGTCCATTGATGCAAGAACTTCATTGTCTTAGTTCAAGCAATTGCTACAACCACCACCCTCATCAGTCAGCAGCCACCAACATGGAAGCAGGACCCTTCCTAGCAAAAAAATAATCCTCTAAGGCTCAGATGATGGTTAGCATAACGTAGCAATAAAATATTAGGTATGTACATTGTTTTTTTAGATATACCACTATTGCATTCTTAACAGACTACAGTGTAAACATAACTTTTATATGCACTGGGAGACCAGAAAGTCCAGCTGACTCCTCTCCTGTGGTCCTGCTTGATTCTGGTGGTCTGGAGCCATAGTGGCAGCACATGCCTGCGGCTGAGTGGGTGGAGGAGGCCACCTGATAAAGCTAAGAGTCATAATCATTTTTGCTCTCTTTGCTTTCTTATGGCTTGAGACTCAAAACATAATTCTTTAGTAGCTTCTGGTTGACTAATTACTAATGATTCACCCATAAAAAAACAATGGGTTGGCATTTTATTCACCTTGAACTGTCTGGAAATACTTCAGCATTTAGCACCTCATATGGTTTTAAAAAATATAGTGCCTATAGATGTTAAAGTAATTCCTGTTCCTCATGCCTAAAAATCTGAAATATTTAGGTATGAAGCCCTTCCTGAGTATTTTAACATTTTTTCCCTTTTTACTTGGCTTTTGTATAATTAGCCATTTCTTTATGCTTTGAAACAAAATTTTATATAGCCGTTAGTTACAGACTATTCCCATTCCTGATTTTGGAGAAAGGAGACAGGTTCTCTGTAAATGCCCTTGTGGCTCAAGGGCAATGGGCACAGGTAAAGTTTCAGGGAGAATGCACACTGGCTTTTGTGTCAGTCTACTTAAGGCAGGTTCATAACTGCCTAGTGATCCTAAGTCAGGTTTGGACTTTTCTTTAAACATCTGGACTAAAGTGTTGATGTGTGTGATTTCAAAGGAATACTCATTACTTGTAAAACCAAGAAACAGAAGAAAAATACGCACTAAAATTAGAAACATAAAACAATTCTTTTTATAAAAAAATACATTTATCCATAAAATATATGATCTAGCTTTAAGTAATATTTTAGTACATTATTCCAGAGTTGGAAAATCCCAACCCATTAAAAAGTAACTAATGTGTCCAGGCCACTGGGGCCACACCTCCATAAACAAGGCAGTGGTGCCCTAGAATTCATCTCAGAATAGCTTGGTGGAATAGCTTTGAAATATTGCAACCCATTTGGTATGTTTCTCTGGGATGAAATCTTACCCATGCGAGAAATCCTGACTCCAGATGTTTTTTGAATGTGTGAATAGGCAGAACTCTAGATTCTGTGACTAACCACATGACAAGGACGACTGTGGGAGAGACGGTGGTGACTCAGTGTTGCCCTCCTCTCCTCAGGTGACGCCTCCAAGGAGGACATCGACACCGCCATAAAGCTGGGAGTCGGCTACCCTATGGGCCCGTTTGAGCTGCTTGATTACATAGGGCTGGATACCACAAAGTTCATCATAGACGGTAAGGATGGACTTCTCTGTTGACTTCCTTTCCTTGAGTTGAGGTAGTCTCTCTCACCTATGGTTACAATGCCTACTGAAGACGATTATAAGGGGTCTTAGTAGACCTTCCAAAGTCCCGCTCCACCTGCTTAAAGATTCCATTTAATAGGTGGCAGGAGAAGGAAAATGTGACTGCCTAGTGTCTCCTCACAAGGCAACTTTTTTATTTTGAACCTCATTTTGAAATAACTATAGATTCACAGGAGATATGGAATACAGATAGGTCCTGTATGCCCCTGTGGTGGTTTCCCCAGTGGTTCCATCTTTCACAAGCACGGTACAATAGCAAAACCAGGAACTGTCATTGGGACAGTTGTAATTCTGTCACAAATGCTGATGAGTGACCTCCACTGCAGTCAGGATACACAGCCATTCAAAAAAACTGCCTGTTTTACTGTGGTGGGCACGGAAGACATGGTAACAATAATTACTAAAGGTGGACTACTGAACTTGAATGTAGCTCATGCTACCAGGTTTCAGAAAGAACACATTATTGGGGAGGAGCGAGGAGGTGTCTACTTGAAGCACGAGCTTTTGAATTTTATGAGTATGCAAAATACCAGTGGCATCAACTTCAGATTTTTAATATGTTCTGGAAGTTGTTTCTGTGTGCCACTGAGGGGGTCCCACCAGCGGGTGAATGGTTCTGTTTGTTTTTGGACCTGCAGCATCTGTGGTTTCCAGGAACGGATTGGATCAACAGGAGGCCCTGGTAGGGCCGGGCCTCGAGTGTGCAATGGGTAGTGGACACCTGTCGAGGACTGTGGCCAAGTTGGCCCAGTCTGCCTTCTGTCCCTGCTGTGTGGCCTGAGTGGCACTGTGTCCGAGGGGGCTCTCCCACATCACAGTGGGGACCCTTTTTGCTAAGCTCTACCTCTAAATTTGCCCTGGGAATGCTGAGATGTAAAAGTAACCCCAGCATTTCATCCAAGCTTTTCCCTTCTCTCTGTAGGATGGCATGAAATGGATGTGAAGAACCCCTTGTTCCACCCCAGCCCATCCTTGAATAAGCTGGTAGCAGAGAATAAGCTTGGCAAGAAGACTGGAGAAGGATATTACAAACACAAATGACACACAGCTTCCCTGGCCCTGGGCAGAGCCCGTAAGCAGACACCAGCAGCCCCCAAGTGCCCAAGGGAAGGCTCTTTGGTCAGACCTCCTCTCACACAGCACAGTCTGTTGGACGTGCATTTTGATTATAATGTACCTAAAGTAATTACACCACTATTATTACAATAATAGCAGATTCCTCCACTGAGAACTAATTCCCTTTAATCTGCTCATTTCTGTGTATTTTCTAAAAAGCTTTATATCCTGGGTGCCTTGACGCATACATTTGTTTTGGACATTGTAGCCTGAATTCATTCTCTCGTAAAGGGGAAAGTGCTGTGTTCGTCACTGCCACCTGGGTGACTCGTGAGCCATTGACACTCTGTGGCGTGTGGGACATGCTGCGGCCCTTCTGAGACCACTGGCTGCCTGCAGCTTCAAGCCTCACCCTGCGTTATGGGCTCGCCTTACAGTGTTGTATCTTTATCCAGCCCAGGCTGCTGGATTGGTGGAAATATCTCTGTGCTTGCTTTGCAGGAAGAGGTTTCATTCACATCCAAAATCTGAATGAGCTCAGCTGTCTCTTTTTTTTTGTGAGAAATCATTGCTGCAAACTGCTGAAAATTGACTCTAATAAAAATGCAATCTTTTAATCTGAAAATTTGAATTGAAATAAACATATAATTTAAAATCGAATAAGCTGAAATGGTCATAAAAGAAATAATAATTCAAGCACAAACTATGCCCCATCTCCTTTGGCCTGTTGTTATTTTTTAAAGTGGCAGCGGTGGGGAAGGGAGGCAGGAGAAGCGTTTGTGTGTAACCCGCCTGCAGCTGTCACTCCAGATTTCTTACCAGTAAAGCAAAAAGGCACAGAAAACAATTTTTAAGGAACATCTGTTTCTTCTTTGCCAACAAAGAGAAACAGCATAACATAAGCTTCTTTTAATCATTGGCTTGGGAAAGTGTCTCCCAAGATAGAATTTTGAAGCTGGAAAGACATCAGAAACTCTGCGGCCCAGTGGCCTCATTAAGAGAGCACTTAAGTGATGTGTCCAAGGTCACCAGAAATTTTGTAGCAGAGCCAGGACTAGAAGTAGGTTTGATGATAAAATTAAATACAAAATAGCAAATCTGAACATCTCAAATCCAAACTTTCAAACAGGGCTGTCCCCAAAATAGGCACCCTTGTTTGGCATCCTGGGTCACAGATTAATGGTTGAGTTTTTTTCTTCCCTTCCTTCCATGATTAATTTTTATTACTAATAAAATTTTATTTTATTTTGAGTCTAACTAGCGTAATGGGAAAATAAATAAGTGCACACATACATTTCTAGCATACATGGAACTTGGTTAGGAAACTTTTAGGTTATTACAAAACGTTCTCTAATGAAGGAAAAGGAAGCACCTGTGATTCCATCAGTGAAGGTTTGCAGTCGCCTGTCCCTCTCAGGCTGGCTCTTGACCTTTGACACGAGTCCTGGGTTCCTTCTCACTCAGACTGGAGTGCCTGGAGGACCTGGGCCCTTGTCCTGGGAATGACCGGGTTCTTTCTTGACTACCAAGTTCCAGGAGAGAGAGAGCTCAGCGATGTGGCTGCCAGCCTGCGGGGAAGTGAGGGTTGGGGCCACCCTGGGCTTTTTCTGGCTGAGTTTTTTAAATGCATTTGTAACCTACAACAAGTCGAAGGCCTGACCTCTGAACATTGTTGAGTCACTTTCATTTTTTTTTTCCATGCATCACATTTGGGAAGAGGAAGAAATCGTGATCATCCTCCTCTTAAACACAGGGAGTAGGAGCAGCTTTCTGGGTCCCATGCTCTGGCCTCTGCCTTGGGCTGTACAGCTGCTTCCCACCAGGCCCCGCGGAGGGTAAGGTGGGTCTCCTCAGCCAGTTCTCCACTTCCAAATAAGGACCAGCTGCTGCTGTTCACGGTGTTTGCAAACAGCCCAAGATCCCTGAGGGCTTAGCTGTGTTCTTCAGTGTGTGGCTGCACTTGTTCAGGAAAGGACGATCCAGGCCTGACTGGCCACGATTCCTCCCGTCCCTGATTTCTCCATAGCAGCCAGGGATCTTTTTTATTGGATTTTGCAAGTAACTACCAGGTTTTAGGTCAAGAGAACACTTCCACCTTTTCTCTTCCACCTGTACTCCCCCTTGGTGGTATTTTTATTCCTATGTCTTTGTAAACTGAATTGTGGCCTTTTCATGTCCATAAGATTCACTATTAATAAGTTTCTTAGGGGCAAATGGTTGGCTAACTTCTTTTGTCGTCAGTTGTGTATTTCCTGTAGGTGGCATAGCACAGGGTGGCGGGGTGGGTAGACCCTGGAACTCAGAAACTTGAGAATAAAAATCTGATATAAAATGATTGCCACCTCGGTGCTATTACAGAGTTTTCTGACTCTAACATGTCAGCTTTCAGAAGCTCATTTGAAACTCCACCACTTATGGTTGGAGAGGGTGGTAGTCACAGCTTATGCAACATAAGCTAATTACACTTGGTTTGCAATTCCACTTTTCACACATTTGAAACAAGCTTTTGTCTATCCCACCTTGATTTTAATACCTTCACATTTCTACAGTCTTGCCAATGGGTTTCAGCCCCCAGCAAGTTCACTATGGATTCAATGTGACCAAAGAAATAGCAAAATGTTCTTGGGGTGAAAGGGTTATACCCAACTTTATTTCCAGGTGGCAGGTCAGTCACTACAATCCTGTTCACTCAGAGCAAGTCTGCATGCAACAAGCCGGTCTCTGCCTCTGGGCCTCTCTGCACAGCCATCCTCTGGGCCTCTGTCCTCGGCACTGCCTCCACTCCAGCCTCTGCTCTGCTCTCCTGCAGCCTTGCAGCTCTGCCACCATATCACGTGCAGAGTACTGGGCAGAGCTCTTTATGTAGAGTCAACAGCCATGTATTGCCCACAGGTTTGAAGTGAGCTACTCAGCCAGGGCCAGGTGAGAATCCTGGCCACAGGAACTCATTTTATCCACACTACCTAAGTAACTGTCTTGCCGGTGGGTTTCAGCCCCAGGCAAGTTGACTATGGATTCAATGTGACCAGTGAAATTGACAGCAAAACGTTCTTTGGGGTAAAAGGGTTTTTTACCCAGCTTGTTCTCCCAGCAGTAGGTTGAGCACTAGTGTCTCTGCCTCCACCCAGAGTACTGGGCCGAGCTCTCTATATAGCACAATAATAGCTTATTGCCTAAAGGTGTGAAAGTGGTAGCCTAGCAACAGGCCAGTTACATCATCATGTGTTTTAAGTTCAGTGAGGATCCTGGCCATAGGAACCCCAACTTCCCCATGAACTAACCGATTAAGTCTACTAAAAATTTAAGGTGTGGCTGTAATTTTGTAGGACTGATTTTCTTGTAAACAGGCACTGATGCTACATAAATAGTAATCTAAAAAATGCTTTAAACAGTGGAAGCATTGCTATATTCTCAACCCATTTGGTTGTATAAATTCTGTCTTTTAAGATAAGATCTATGGTAGAACAAATTTTAACTCCTGAAAGAAAAATCTCATCATCTATACTAATTCTATTAAATATTTTACTTAAAATCACTGTAGCTGTTGCATAATTAATTGGCATAGATTACTAACACGAAGGGCTTTGGAATTAAACAGACTTGGGTTCTAGTGTTACCTGCGCTCCCCTGTGTCTGTGTGTCTTGCCAATGGGTTTCATCCCCCAGCAAGTTCGCTATGGATTCAGTGTGACCAAAGGAATCGACAGCAAAACGTTCTTGGAGTGAAAGGGTTTATTACCCGGCTTGTTCTCCGGTGGTAGGTTGAGCACTAGCACCTCTGCCTCCATGCAGAGCACCGGGCCGAGCTCTCTATAGCACAATAATAGCTTATTGCCTACAGGTGTGGAAGCAGCAGCCCAGCAACAGGCCAGTTACATCATCAGGTGGTTTTAAGTTCAGTGAGGATCCTGGCCATAGGAACCCCAACTTCCCCACACTCCACCCCTTCAGGAATCTCGCCTTACAATCTAAACGCTTTCAATCTTCCACAATGGTCCCTGTGTGAGAAAGCTGGAGCACTTTAACCAGGTTCCACAATAGCAACAGAGGATAACAACAACTTAAGAGATAATAAAAATTAAGATACAGCAAGATTTTGATACAAAAATTATAATAATCCTCAAGCCAGAGGAGGTTCCTAATAACAAAAATTAAAATAATCCTCAAGCCAGAGGAAGTTCCCAATCCACAAAGACTTTAGTGGCGATAAGACACGTTTTAATGCCACCAACATAGGTAAATCTTGTCCATCAGGTAGGATGCATGCAAGAGAGTGGTCCTGTGATAGGACTAGCAGGAAGGGGGTCCCTTCCAGGTCTAGAATACCATACATTTACTCCTTTCTGAAAGGCCTATATATAGTGCTACTGGAGGTACATGCACTGGCCATAATGATAAAACAAAACTCCCCGGTAAGATGCTCCTACCTTCTGGCCGTTCAGGATATACTACTGTGACCTTTGGTGGCCACTCTGCTGTTATTCCAGAAATACACAGTGGCCAGCTTCTAGGCCTTGTCCCCAAGGTGCCAGGAAAGCCAGCCATCATTGGTCCATGTGTCAAAAAGTTCAAGGCCACGTCCACTCAATGGAGTCTCCGGGGTTCAGTGCAGTTGGTGCTGGCAGCAAGGTGTTATTCTGGTGGCCAAACCTCGGCTTCAGTGATTCTTCCTTGGTTTGTACTTGCAGTTGTATAGGGGAGGCAGCCATCTGTGTTAACATGTCTATGGGGCTCAAAGGTCCCTTTTGGGGTCTCATTCAAACGCCATAGTACGGTCCATAAGCAGACTGACCATCCCCGCAGACTACTGGTATCTGACTTTAGTCCGGATATTAACAAGCCATTGTGCCTCTCTATCATGCCTGCTGCGTTAGGGTTGTATGGGACATGAAACTTCCACTTGATTCCCACCTGTCGTACCCATTCTTGCAGTGTATATCCAGTAAAATGGGTGCCCTGATCACTCTCAATTACCTGTGGTCAGCCATAGGCAGCAAAGAGATGCTCCAGGTCTCTTTTGGTTGCCTGCTGGTCTGCACAACGGGTAGGAAAAGCAACCAGAAGTCCAGTAGCTGTGTCCACACCAGTCATCACATACCGATATCCTTCTGACACAGGTAGAGGCCCAATATAGTCTATCTGCCACCTGACGAGGGGTATAGGCCCCTTAGCTATTGTCCCATGTTGCTGTGGAACTCGGTGTAAGTCTCTTTTGGAGCACACGACGCACTCTTGCCGTGCTCCACTAACTTCTTCGAAGGTCAAAGGCAAGCCCCACCGACGGGCTACAGCCCACATTGTCTTTTGCCCCGCATGCAACAAACGCTGATGTAGCCATTGGGCTACATCAGAGGCAGGCTTTCCTTCTAACCAATGTATCTGAGCCAATTTATCTGCCTCATCATTTCCTGGGAATGCCCGTGGCAAATGACCTGTCACATGGTATACTGTAATTATTTTGGTCTGACCACAGGCCCATAAGTCTTGCCATAATTCTTGACCCCAAAGGGGTTGGTGATCAGGGCATGGTACCAGGTTGGTAGCCATAGGGTCAAGCCCCGATAGCCCAGCTGTCAGGGCAACTATAGGGGAGGGCTCCTGGCTGATCACAAGACACACAGCCCACAACTCTGCCCGTTGGCTGCTCTTCCCCTCACCAT